TCCCAGCAGCACAATGAGGATAAAGTCAGACAGTGCACGTGGCCCCGGGAAGAGGGCCAGAGGGACTCATTGAGTTTCTCAAGTGCAGCTGATGATGGCTGTCCTGGCCCACGTCCCGGGGAGGGGGCGGGGGTGCAGGCTGAGCTCTCCCACACAGTTTTACACTAAACGAATGCAGGCAGCAGTAACGGAAAAGCAAGCAGAGGGCTGGCAGCACGGTGCCGCCTGCCCAGTAGCTGCAGGCGGGTGTCCAGAGATGTCCCAGACAACCCAGGAGCCTGCTGGGTCCGCACAGGAGACCCCGACGGTCCTCTGAGCACTCGTCCTGTGGCCTCGCCCACCAGCTCCTGCTCTTCACTGCAGGCCCTAATTTACTGAACGATCCCCTTGTTTTTCACTAAAAAAAAAAAAGTGTTTTGGTATGATTTTTGCAAATAAGTCTGGAGACTACATTCCAGGGATGAGCTTGGTCTCACCCATACCCTTACCCATGAGAGGCCTCTCCCTGTCCCCACCAACAACGGGCTGGCAGCCCAAGGTACCCTCCCTCTGACAGCAGCCTCAACGTCGCCTCTGGGCACCGGCTCGCTGGGAGCTGCCTCCCCATCCTGGCCTCTCTCCTGTTGGTTTTGGCTGCCTTGTTGCCGACTGGTGCAGGCTCCTTGTCAGCCAGGACCCGAGTCCTCACCTGAGGGACCTGCCTGCAGGACCGGATGATTCAGACGCCCCCTAGGGCTGGGTGTTTCCTCCTGGGCGGCCAGCCTGGCCATGACCAATTCACCTGCCCCACGCCTCTCAGCCCGGCCCCACTGACCGCAGCGGTGACTGTGACCACTGGCTGCTCCTGTCCAGCTGACTCATTGTGTAGTCACAAACACAGGCTGAGGAACGGGGCTGCCCTGTCCCAGGTGCCCGGGGCCAGAGCACCGGCCCCCTCACGGTGAAGCTGGCCTGGAGAGGGGCTACCCAGACACAAAAACAGAGAGAGAGGCTGTCCGAGCTGAGGGCAGGGACAGACACCCAGGACAGAGCCTGCCTGCCCTCGGGACCTGTGCCGGGGGGGTGGGGGGGCAGCAAGGGCCAGGCTACCATCTGCCAGCTTCTAGGTCCCAAGTCACACTGCCGTGGAAACCACATGTGTAACCTGTGGAAAACATTGTTTTCCTTGATGAATCATGTTCTAACTTGGGAGGAAAATTCACTCAATAGTTGAGGCATTAAAAAGAAAGAAAAAAGGGTTTCATTCAAAAGATGCTAAGAGGGTTTGTTTCTCAGGTCCTGACATTGCCCTCAGCTGTGTTTGTCTTCCTTTTCTAGAAAATTCTATCAGGTGGAGCCCGAGTTTATGGAGCCCAAGGAGGATGTCTTGCCTATGTCCAAGCTGCCCTGGGCAGGCAGGGAGGTGCCCGGTTCAGCTCAGGAAGGGTTCAGCTGAGGCCAGCAGTCTGGGTCTGTCTCCATAGTCGCTCACCTGCTGTGTGGCTGTGGGCCAGATAACCCACCTCAGTTTCCCTGTCTGGATAATGGGGGCAAATTCTAGCTGAAGGACAAGGGGGTGGACATGACCAAGGGGTATGGGCACACCCAGGCCCTGCTGTGGCTAGAGGAGCCAGCAGGGGGCTGGACTACCCCTTCCTGTCTCACTTGTTGCTGGGAGGTTTCCTTAAAGACAAAAAAAAAAAAAAAAAAGACAGTGGGAGGAAGAGAGGGAGGAGAAGGACAAATAATTTTTTTTTTAAAAGAAGAAGGCCCTGCCCTGGCCGGTTTGGCTCAGCGGTTAGAGCGTCGGCCTGCGGTCCGGAGAGGCCCGGGTTCGGTTCCCGCTAAGGGCATGTACCTTGGTTGCAGTTTGTCCCCAGCCCTGGTTGGTCGTGCGGGTGGCAGCCACTCGATGTGTCCCTTTCACATCGATGTTTCCCTCTCTCTCTCTTCCTCTCTCTCCCACCCACTCTGTCTGTACAAAAAATGGAAAAATGTCCTCGGGTGAGGATAAAAAAAAAAAAAAAAAGAAGAAGGCCCTGCCCTAGACTGGGATCTGTGGGCCAGAGGGGGCGCTGTTGCTCCGCGGAGGGAGGACAGAGAGAGGAAGGTGGGGAAGAAGCAAAGGAACTAAGGCAGGGGCTCCAGGCTGGCTGTACAGGGGGACCCCACCCCCACAGGCCTGGGCGGCACCAGTTCCTTCTGCTGCTTTCCTGGGGACACAGGGGTTCCATCAGGATATCTTTCCTTCCTCCTCCCACCGACCTGCTGGTTTGAAAGGCCTGACGGCAGAGCTGTGGGTCTTCCCCCTTTTCCAGCACTGACTTTTCCAGGCACCAAGAGTTGCAGGGACATGGGAACGAGGGGGAGAAAGCAGGGGTCCATTCACGGGAGCTCCCGGAGGGCTCCTGTCAGGGGACTCCAGGGTCCCAGTCTAACCCAGGGGTTGAACAGGGACTGGCCAGGGTGAACAGGGTACAGATCATCTCATGGACACCATTGAACACACACACACACACACTCACACACACACACACACACACACACACTCTCTGCAGGCCCCAGAGGAAAGCCCTGCTCTGGGTGCCTGCGACACCCCTCCCCCATGCCCGTGGCATCCCATGCTTCCCTGAAACAGCTCAGGGATGGGCACCAGGGCTCAGAGATGAGCAGGTGTTTCTCCCTGTCACCAACCCCATTCTCCCTCAGGTCCTCAGGGCAGCCCTATCCCCAAGCCTCCTGGACACCCCAGCCCATTTCCTCCGTCTGCTGCCAGGGACTTGATTCCTCTCACTTGGAGAGCTCACCTACCTGGCTAGGCCCTTCCAGGGTCGCCTGCCAGTGTGCCACTAGCTGCTCCAGAGGGTCCCTTCAAACCTGCAGTAGCCCTGCTACTACCCCCCACAAAAGACCCTTGCGCCCCCAGCGCAGTCCCTTTGGACCCCCCATGACCCATCTCTCACCAGCTCCCTCCACAAAGGTGTCCTTGCAGCCTCCAGGCTCCCAGGAGCCGGGACAGATTTGTGCATGAGCACTGACAACCGACTGGCCTGGGCTGGGGCGGGGGCAGCTGCGGGTCGACGCTGACCCTTCCAGAGGCAGTTCCATGGCGTGTGCACCCTGCAGTGTCCTGGAGAGAGAAGGGTCTGGAGCGTGAGGAGTCAAAGAGCCTTCCCTCCACCGCGGCGAAACTCAGCCCTTCCCCTGTGCACGTCCCCACGTAAGGCCCAGGGTGGTTTTTATTTTCCTTTTCATGTATTCTGTAGTTTTTCATATTTCCTTTAGTACACCTGCATCACTTTTATAATCAGAGAAGACCACGGACAAAGGCGTATAAACAGATACATACCAGGTGACCACATGTCTGTAAAATGTTTAAGCAGAAAGATGATAAGAGACATGGAGGTGTTAGCTCTGATTACCTCTGCGTAGTGAGACAAGACGGTGCTTTTCTATATTTGTCATTTCTTTCTGATGAGCATGTACCTTTTTTGTAAAGCAAAAAATAAAATTTTCCAAAGGTACCACCAGCCCCTGCCTGGAGCAAGAACTTCCTTTCACTCAACATACCCACATGGCCCCGCCCTGCCGTAGAGAAGTTCAGGCTGGGTTTGAATGTGGGAGCTGCCAGACGGAAAGGGTGGGGGTCCCCTGCCTCGTCATGGGGCGGTCACACCACCAGAGACTCGCTGGTGTTCCACAAGCTAGTGCCTGACAAATCCCCTGTAGGGAGGGCCAGGGGAGCAGTTAGGCCTGGAGGTCACGTAAATCTGTCCCTGTGTGAGCAAGGGACACTTCTTTCCGTTTTATAGACAGTGTGTTGGTCCTTGCCTGCTTTGTAATAAATTACTCTCAACCCCGTGGCTGAGCCCCAGTACCCAGTTGCCATCTTGAGAATCACGCATGATCTGGCCGGGCCACTGTTATTTTACACAACATAGTCTTCCTCCAAACCTGCAAGGGTGTCAGAGTTGCCACTCTTTACAAACAGCAAGCACAGCTCAGACTGGAGAGGCCAGGTGAGCAGGCTACAGCCTTGCATGCAGACCTGACCCCGTTTGGACTGCACACCCACCAGCTGGATGTCGCAGCACCAAACCCCAGGGCAGAGGGGGACATGCCCACAGCACAGTCTGGATGGAATCAGTGGCAGGCACAATCATCTGGGCAATTAGTGTATAAAACTCCCATAAATTAGGTGGGGAAAATGAAGAGAATATGGGAAGAAACCCGAGATCATTGAGAAGTATGATTTCTAAAGTTGTTCTCAAACATTTCCTTTCAATGGTTCTATGACATTCGTATGTTTTGAAACTATAAACCATTTAGGCTGATTTCAGACAAGTGTCAACAGCTTCAGCTCCAGCAAAGGTCTTCTGGAACCTTCCCTGGGGCAGGGGTGGTCTGACCACACCTGGAACTCACCCATGCAGGGCCTCAAATATATATATTTGTTGACTTTGTTTTCCCACAGTAAAAACTGAAATGTTTTTTCCAAATATGTATTTGACTAAACTGAAGAAATATATACATGAAAAATAATTCGGAAATCCGACCAAGCAGTGGATTTGAAACCTTGAAATCAACAGCATCTCATTGGTGGGAAGCCATTAGTGTGGGGACTGGCAAACATGCAGATCAGCTCCACAAGATCTGGATTGGAAACAACCAAAAAGCATTGCAAGGAAATTCATCTGGGGTTGCAGTTCTTTTTCAGACATACACTCAACTGCACTTTTGTTCTGCTGGGCATGAGAAGCACAGTCCCAACAAACTGAAAATAAATCCTTTAGCTGAGAAATGTCCTGGGCTCAAAGCTGCTCAAGAGACCAAAGACTTTTCTTTCAGTGACTCACTCGGAGCTGGAGGAGACCCCGGCCTCCACTCCAATCCTGGGCCCGCCCCAGCCTCCTCCTCCTCCACCCGCTCCTCCTCCCTCTGCCCCTCCCTCCCTCCTTCCCAGGCAGAAACTCCGGCAGAGCAGAGACAACTTCTCTCTCACTCCGGTCATCGGTCAGCGAAGGCCCACCCTGACCCCTGCCCTCACTCGATGGTGACACGCAGGCCGGTGACATGAGGCTGGCCCACGCTCTGCTCCCCCTGCTGCTGCAGGCCTGCTGGGCCACCGCGCAGGACCTCCCGGCAGCTGAGAGGGCCATCGCCTTCCAAGGTGAGTGGACTTGCCGCATCTCCAACTGTGCTTTTTGCTGCTGCGTGAGACAGGGCCCGGGACCAGCCGCATCCAGCCCCAAGTGGGACCCTGGTCTCTTCCCTTGATGTGAGAGCTGTAGATGGGGGCCTTGTTAGGGTGCTTGGAATTCCCCAGCTCGGTGTCCCATTCCCTGTGACTCCTCCAGCAAAGCCCCTGGGCTCTGGTCCCACGGGCGAGTGAACTCATTTGCATGTCAGCCTCCAGCACTCCGTGGGCAACTGTCCTGACCGTCCAGTGCTGTTTCTCTCCACCTCAGTTCATTCCATCTGATTCCTTGCCTGGCAGTCAGTCAAGAAACATGGTTACCTGTTCCCATGCACCCTTTTCTGAAGCTCATGCCCCTTGTAGTTTTAAATTCAACTTGGAAACTTAGTGAGAAAGCAGTCTCAGTTGTCCAGGGCGGGGCTCCCTGTCTTCCCAGAGGCCGGGCAGGATTCTCAGGACCGAACGTGGGGTTTTCACGGTCACCCCCGCCCATCACTGGGTGCCAGCTTTTCCTGATGAGGGCCCCTTGGTGCAATGGGAGTGGCCGCCTGGGGAGGTGGCTGGGGGGGTCAGAGGAGCCAGAAGACAAACTGGGTGAAGGTGGTCCCAGTGTGGCCTCGAGGGCGCAGGGCATGAGCTGCAGTTCTCCTGTCCCTGGCCCAGACTGCCCCGTGGACCTCTTCTTCGTGCTGGACACCTCCGAGAGCGTGGCCTTGAGGCTGAAGCCCTACGGGGCCCTGGTGGACAAAGTCAAGTCTTTCACCAAGCGTTTCATCGACAACCTGAAAGACAGGTAGGAGGGCGCACCTGGAACTCTCTCCTGCATCTCCACGAGCCTCTCAGGGGAAAGGCAGTGAGCCCCGGGCACTGGCCGGCCTGGCGCCACGCCTGCCACAGCCCAGCAGGCAGCGCCCAGCCTCAGCTTCCCCATCTGAGAAGGGAGTGCTGGCCTGGCCACCGAGTCCGTTCCCAATGTCCACAGTGGTTCAGATGGGCCGAAGAAGGGCCTGAGATGGAGCAGGCTAGGGAAGGGGTGAGGGCACTGGTCAGCAGGGAGGGCTGATACACTGCTCTGATATGGGGCTCCTGTCACCCCAAATACATACAAGGAACTGCCTCCCAGCCCAAACTGAATAGGTTTAGGGAGTTGGTCTCAGGCCCTGACCAGAGCCTGGAGGGTGCACCTTACCAACCACCTGGACACTAACTGCTGCCCACACGACTGGTCAGAGCCGTGTCCAGACCCAATGTCTCAATGTCCCCGTGTTGCAGACAGAGAGGCCTGGAAGGGCTACCAGCTTGGTTCTGGGTTTGGGCATGGCACACTTCATTCATTCACTAACCCCTCATTCATCTCCGTGAGGAGTTCACAGTGCTGGGAAGGTGGGTGTGGCCAAGGGCAGGACACGCCCACAGTGGAATGGCAGAGTGAAGGAGGGAGAAGCACAGGTCAGAACACAACTCCTCCCCTCCACACCTGTGCAGGGACCCACCCCTAGGCCCACCCTGTCCCTGCTGACCTGCTGGCCAGGGCCCTGAACTTCCCCCCCCAAAAGGGGCCAGAGGGATAGAGGGCATGGCTGCCTAATGCAGGGTGTTGTCATACCTGAAGCTCCACACTTACCCCAAATGCCCAGGTCCGTGGGCCCGAAGGATGCTGGGGCTGCATGTATGGTGCCTCAGGGAGAGGTGTTGGGCCAGCCATGTGAGCCAACATCCCCCTCCATGTGCCTTTGGCCACTTACTCACCCTTCTGTGCCTCAGTTTCCTCACCTGTGAACTGAAATAGGCTCCTCTTGGTGGTTGCTACTGTTACCATGGCCACAGGAGCCTCAATCACTCCATCTGCTGAATGGGCTGCTGGGCAGACCACCCAGACCTGGGCAGAGCGAAACAGAGCCTCAGGGTCCAGGTGCATGCATCAGAGAGGGGCCCAGTCAGATCCTTGGGGACCCCTCACCCGTGTCCTGCTTAGAACTGGCCTTGTGCAGTCCCCCTAACCCACACTCCCCTCAGCCCTCCCCACTGAAGGGCCTGCCCCCTTCACCACATGGCCCGCCCACCACATCCAGGCTCACACAGCTCCTCAGCCGAAGCCCCTGGAGCTCAGGAGCGACGGTGGCGGTTGGCCTTCCCACACATGGCCGCCAGGCCAGCGACCGGGCCTTTGAGGGCCACATGTGAAGTCCAGCCCGGGCAGTCTTCCACCGGTGGCAGGCGGCCACCTTGCACTGGATGGACGGCACCCCGAAAGCGGGAGGCCTCCAGGGTGCCCGGTGTCCACGGGCTCGGGCCTGGGAGGCACACCGCTCACCCCCCGCGCCCGCAGGTACTACCGCTGCGACCGCAACCTGGTGTGGAACGCGGGCGCCCTGCACTACAGCGACGAGGTGGAGATCATCCGCGGGCTCACGCGCATGCCCAGCGGCCGCGACGCGCTGAAGGCCAGCGTGGACGCGGTCAAGTACTTCGGCAAGGGCACCTACACCGACTGCGCCATCAAGAAGGGGCTGGAGGAACTGCTCGTTGGGTGAGCACCCCACCCCCGGGCCCGTGCACACGTGGTGGCTCCGGCTGTGGTTGGCCTCAGGCCCAGGCTTGGCTCCTGCCTCTGGGGAGCTGCACAGGCCCGGTGCCCCTGGGGGACCGCCACCTTCCCGACCCATGCATGGTCACTGCACCAAAGCTCGCCAGGTACCAGGGCTGCCCGCTGGCAAACCAAGCTCTGGTGTCCAAGGTCCCCCAGGACCAGTCTTAGTGGCCAAGGGATCATGCTAGTTACCACTAGCCAGCCTGTCCTCATGGTCACCAAAGGTTCTCTGAGTCTCTTCACCCCTCCCTGGAGCCATCCACTGTCTCCTCAGCCAGTGACCCAGAAGGGACCTGAAATGCCCCATCACTGCCACCCTTTGGCCAGCAGAGGTGATGTCTGCAGTCAGAGACAGACACAGAGCGACAGAAGACAGGGACAGAGATGGCAACACAGTGGGACGGGATCTCTGTAAGAGCATCTGTGTCCCCAGTTCTGGCTCTGCAGGTTACTTGGAACCTGTAGTGGCGAGCAGCCAGCAGCCCCCATGTCCAGAGAGAGGGCTGGTTCCTGGCTGTGCTCAGCCTGGCCCTGCCCCCGGGCCCTCACTCACAGGTGGGCACATCTTCAGCCGTTCCCTCCCACTGCCCCTGGCTGAAGTTCCATGTCAGGACACCCTGTGACAAACTATGCCTGTCCCCTGGCTGTATGTGCATTTTTCAAAATAGTCTTTTAGGGAAATGTGACCCCACAAAACTATTTTCTGTTTAATGTTTGTTTTTATGATGCTACATTATATATAGCAGGATCAACAAAGAGAAACCTTATTCAGCGTAACAGGAAACAGCACTTTGCAGAGCTGTGCTTGGGTCTGGATCTCCTTCCAGAGGGTCTCCCCCCACCCCACCACCCCATCACCCATCACCTCCCAATGCCAGGTCTCAGCTCTCCAAAGGGGCCCTGTGCTGTCAGGGTCAGAGGTGGCCTGAGGGAGCAGTCGGTTCTCACGGCTGCTCACCCCCTTGCAGGGGCTCCCACCTGAAGGAGAACAAGTACCTGATTGTGGTGACTGACGGGCACCCCCTGGAGGGCTACAAGGAGCCATGCGGGGGCCTGGAGGATGCTGTGAATGAGGCCAGGCACCTGGGCATCAAAGTCTTCTCAGTGGCCATCACGCCCGACCACCTGGTAGGAGCCCTCCTGGGCCTGTGGCCTGGGAGGGGGCACATGGCACAGCCTCTGGGTGCAGAGAGCAGGCACCAAGCTGCAGCACGGTGTGGGGAACAGAGATGGGGAGGGGTCTGCACTCCTAGCTGTCATCGGCACCCTGGTTCCTGTCATCACCCTTGTTCTTGCCGTGTCCACTCCAGGAGCCACGTCTGAGCATCATTGCCACAGACCACACGTACCGGCGCAACTTCACAGCGGCTGACTGGGGGCAGAGCCGTGATGCAGAGGAGGTCATCAGCCAGACCATCGACACCATTACCGACATGATTGTGAGTGGCCGCTGCACTGTCCCCCTCCCATGTCCAGTGCCAGGAAATCCTGTGGCCACAAATATAAATTAATTTGACTTTTTCATTTCATTTTCAGAAAAATAATGTGGAACAAGTGGTAAGAGCCCCCTGCACCCCTACCCTCCCCCACTGCCCAGGGTGTCACCACTGGCCCCTACATCCCACCTGGGCACCCGAGCCAAGCCCTTTGAGGACCCACATTATGGGGCGTGGCCGAGTGCCTGGGCTTTCTGATGTGTCTCTGTCTCCTTCCTGCAGTGCTGCTCCTTCGAGTGCCAGGTGAGCATGGGCCCCGCCCGCCCCGGGGGCCTCCTGGGATGCGCTGTCTTGGGCTGACTGTTCTCTCTGCCTTGCAGCCTGCAAGAGGACCTCCTGGACCACGGGGTGACCCAGGGTATGAGGTGAGTGTCCACACCCTACGCTTGCTTATGTCCAGCAGGGAGAGAGGTGTCCAGTAAGCATGAAGGAAATGTCCCTATGGCCTGGCACCCCAGGTGTCAGGGACACGGTGGGTCCCCAGGCAGCAGTGCTGAGTACCCACCATGCCCCTGCCACTGGGCTTGGTGGGGGACAGCGAAGGTATCCCTAGCTAAGCAGGTACCTCCAGCCGTGGGAGAGAGTCCAGGCACCGTGACCCCAAGGCCAAAGGGGTGGTCCAGGGCTGGGGGCAGGCTCTGACAGCACCCTCGCCCCCTCCTTGGGGTGGAGGAACTGGCCCTTCCTGAAAACCCTCTGAGTGCTCAGCTCCTGGAGATGGGCCTTGGGAGATGGGCACGCACCTGGGGCGCCGGTCAGGGTGACTTACAAAGTGAAGTTCTGAAGATTCTTCGCTAGTGTTTACAAATTGGGACATTGTTCAGGAAAGTCCAGATTTCTGGCTTCTCCTAAAACATGTCAGCTTCAGTGGCATGAAGCCATGTGGCCAGTGACCATGGGAGCTGAGCCAGCCTCTCCCTGGGGGGCCTTCATGCCCGGGCAGCCCGCCTGGCAGCCCAGCACAGCAGTAGGAACGGGGCGCAGGATGACAGACAGGAGACATTCAGAGGCCTCTGTCCAGCCGCAGGGCAGCCCAAAGCCTGGAGGGGTGTGAGGGAGGGGACACGTGAAACTGACCTTGCAGATCCCAAGATGGGCCATGGGTGATGGGGAAGGTGCCTGAAAACCACACCAGCAAGTGGGGGTCCCTTTCAGCAGCTTTGCAGAAACACGCGGGAAACTGCCCCCTAATCTTGATCTGCTCTGCATTCCAGGGAGAACGAGGGAAACCAGGTCTCCCCGGAGAGAAAGGAGAAGCTGGAGACCCTGTGAGTGTCGGAGGCCCGCCTCGGGGGGAAGCACCGAGAATCCTGGGGGGGCCCAGGCTGCGGACACTTCCAGAAGGATGGCTGGTTTCTCGGTGCCATGACCACAGTCCTTGGAGAACGTGGCCCCCATGGCGCCGGGGCTGGAGGGCGCACAGCACTAACACTCCATCCCGCAGTCCCCCCGGGCGCGGCCCTGCGCCCCTCAGGTCCCCACACAGGCCTCGCCTGTGCTCAGGAGGGCAGGCCGGGGTTGGTCGTAAAGTCCCATGCCCTCCGCCTCAGCCATGGCCAGTCTCCCCACAGCCCAGCCCTAGCTCCTCCTGGGGGCCTTTGACCTCCCCCTCCCTTTCCCTGGAGCTCCACCGAGGACTCCCCAGGAGTGGAGGTGGGTCCTTCACAGCCAGGCTGCTCCCTCAGATGCCAGCCAGCAGGGTGGCCAGGGGCCAGTGGGGCCAGCAGGGTGGCCCGGTCTCTCTGGCTCACGGGGCCTGAGGGGAGTGGGAGACAAGGCGGCTGGGTGGGGCTGCGCTGGCCCCCCAGGGGTGCCTAACACTTACCTCCTCTGTGTTTCAGGGAAGGCCCGGGGACCTGGGACCCGTTGGTTACCAGGGGATGAAGGTACGTCTCCCCTCCTCCACAGCAGCCTTTTCTGGGGCTGAGCCAAAGTGCATTGGAGCTACCCGGGACATCGGGCCCTGGGACACCAGTAACAGCCCCCCTTTCTCCCCCATTTGCTGTGTAGGGAGAAAAAGGAAGCCGAGGAGAGAAGGTGAGTTGTGCAGCCCCCCTCACCTGGACAAGGAAGACATTGCCTGTCCCCAGTGTGGCTGGGTCCCAGCAAGCTGGTGGGGGGTTGGCTGGCACACGCCTCCCAAGGGATCTGGAAAGCCAACCCCCTCCTTGCTGTCCTCCTCCACCTCTCGAGCTGTCCCCATAATGGAGGGACCACCCCTCTTCACTCTCCCTTCCTGTCCCTACAGGGCTCCAGGGGACCCAAAGGTTACAAGGTGAGTGTGGTGGTGGGGACATGGTTCTGCCCCATGGGTGGGTGCTGTCTGGCCTTCGTCTGATCCTTTGGCCTTTGCATCTCACAGGGGGAGAAGGGCAAGCGAGGCATCGACGGTGTGGACGGCATGAAGGTAACCCCAGCCAGGGGAGGGCTGGTGGCCAGGGCACACGGTTCAGGGAAGGGATGGTGGACGGCACCAGGCACCTCTCCAGACATCAGCAGATAGGGGCTTCATGTGGGCACTCTTGGGCAATTTGGAGGTAGTGAGAAAGGCAGATGTTTCCTGCCAAGCCCAAGGCCCCAGTGGACCCCAAGCCACCTGGACAAGCTCAGAGCATCTCTGGAGCGGGGCTTTCCTGGGAGGGGAATGGATGAACCAGAGCCAAAGGCTGAACCACCAAATCCGCCTTCCTCCTTCCAGGGGGAGATGGGGTACCCTGGCCTGCCGGGTTGCAAGGGCTCACCTGGATTCGATGTAAGTCACTTTTTCTCACCAATACTTTAAGACTGTAAGTTCTCAGATGTGAACGTGGGCTCACACCCTTCTGTGAATGCTCTTAAGAAGTCCCTGAGGGCCCTGCTGCGTACAGGTGTGCGGCCTGATGGCTGCTTGGTTGAGACCTTGGACTGACCTCTCTCACCTTCTCACCAGGGCATGCAAGGACCCCCGGGGCCCAAGGGCGACGTGGGTGCATTCGGAAAGAAGGGAGAAAAGGTTAGTGCTGGGAGCCCCCTGGGGGCTGGGGCTGGGGCTTCATCAGCTACTGAGCATCCATAAGTCTGAGGGCCAGGCCCAGGGCCCGGGGAAGGTCATGGGCCACTGCTCTGCTCCCTGGGCAAGTGGGGGAGCTGAGGGTGGGAATGTCGGGAAACAAAGATTATGGGTTAAACATCACAACTGATGGGCCTTTGCCCAAAGGTGCTCTCTGCACCACCCGTCACTGGGCCTCAGACCCTGCAGCCTCCCTCACACCTGCCCTGGGCAGCGGCAGCGGGGGGTGTGGGGGTGGGGTGGGGGGGTGGCCCACGGCGCCGGGCTGTCCGCAGCCTGCAGCTCCGCGTTGCGCCCAGAGTCTATCTGCTCAAATAGAAATCAAAACTTAAGACCAGGCAGCGATGCTGCTGGTGGCCTGTGGGCAGGAGAGGGAAGCATGCGGATACAGAGGTTCAGGTCCGAAGCGGGGTTCGGTTGCTGGCGTTTTTCTGGACTTTCTGTGGCAGCAGTAAGTGCTAGGACGGACGGGGTAGCGTGGACTTGCCCCACGTGCTCTGACCGCACGGGTTCCGGGAATGCATTTTCGGATATCACCTTCCAGCTCCGGGATTACTGAGTGGGCCCAGAGCCGAGTTTGCCGGAAACTGGGCCTCACTAATGAGAACCAGGACTGTCCCTGCGAGAAGCCATCAAGGCAGGAGCTGTGCAGAGAGATGGGCGGCGGGGAAAGCCCTACTTATCCGAGAATCATGGGCTTGGTCGGGGCGCAGCTGCAAGTCTGGGTGGGGAGGGCTGGCATGGGGTCTCTGGTCCCCCCAGCACAGGACAGGAGGGCCTGACCCCTCTGATGTTTCCAGGGTGCGCCTGGAACCGACGGGGAGCCTGGGCGGCCAGGGAACACAGGGCCCTCCGGAGATGAGGTGAGCATGCATGCATGGGCCCCCCGGAGATGGGGGGCATGCACGAAGTGCCCACCCAGCCCTCCTGTCACTGCAGCCCGGTTGCAGCCCCGGCCCTGGGAGGGCCACCAGGAGAGGGTCAGCCACACTCCAGGTGCTGGCCAGGCCAGAGATGAATGAGCGTGTGCTTGTTCTCCCCAGGGAGACCCCGGAGCGCCCGGTTCCCCAGGAGAGAAGGGTGAGGCTGGCGACGAGGTGAGCACCCACATTTGGTCTCCTGCTCCCTGTTCCGGAGACTCAGGCTGAGTTCCCATCTCAAACTAATGCTTCTGTTCCTTCCTCTCCATCCCAGGGCAATGCTGGGCCGGACGGGCCCCCTGGAGACAGGGTGAGTCCAGTGGGGTGTTGATCCAGTGGGGCTCTGGGCCTCATTGCTCAGTGCCAGACACGGCGCCTTGCCAGCTGGGGGCCTGCAGGGAGGGGACGGGCCCGCGCCCGTGAGTCCCTCCCACGTCTCAGAGTCTGGAGCTGCAGCCTCACCCCCTGCTTCTCTCCACGCAGGGTGGCCCTGGGGAAAGAGGACCACGGGGCACCCCAGGTGTGCGGGGACCGAGAGGAGACCCGGTGAGTCACCATTCACTAGGCAAGGACCCCACTTCCCTGGGGGGCACACTGAGGTCGGGCTGTCAGCATCACAGGACACATGACACCCAGTTCCTTAGCTCCTGGACTTCTGTTTTCCCAAACAAAGGTAGTTTCCTCCAGAGCAGGGAGAGCGAGCCCCAGCCAGACCTCCCAAGGGTGCTCTGCCGGGACCTGAAGGGGGCAGGGAGCTGGGCCTGGGCCGAGGCAGGCAGAGCAAAGGGCAGGGCCTCTCCCCTCATCACCAAGGACCAGTTTCCATGGGAATTGACCACCTGGAATCGCACAGTGACACAATGGGTTTGCTCTCTGAGGTTTTGTCGTCTGTATATGAGTTTCCTTCAGGACTGCGGCTCCCGGCTCCAGGACTGCTCATCAGGCTACCTGTCTTTACATACTTAGCTACACAACTTTCCACGTGACGTGGTTCCCTTAGCCCGGCCCCTTCCCCCACACAGCTGGGCTTTTCTTGCTTCTTCTTTTTTAAATCCTCACCCGAGGATACTTTTCCATTTATCTTCAGACTAAGTGAGAGGGAGCGAGGGAGGGAGGGAGAGAGAGAGAGGGAGAGAGAGAGAGAGAAACATCAATGTGAGAGGGATACATTGACTGGTTGCCTCCTGCATGACCCTGACCAGGGCTAGAGTTCAAACCGCAACCAAGTACATCCCTTGACTGGAATGGAACCCACGACTCTTCGGTCTGTGGGCTGATGCTCCAACTGCTGAGCCAAACCGGCCAGGGCCACCAGGGCTTCTCTACACACCTGCAGCACCCCCACCCCAACAACTCCCTAAACGTTTCAGCAGACAGAGCTTGCGTTCTTCTTCGGAAACACTTTTATCTGTTAAGACTTCCAGGGCAGGGACATGGGGACGCTGCAGCTGCACAGACCGGCTGAGGGTCTGGGAGTGGCCCAGCGGCGGCTGCTCCTTTGTCACGATGGCCCAGTGGCCAAGCGGGGTTTTCTCTGGCCTTGTGGTTGAGTGGCAAAGTTTTCCTGGGCCCAGAGGGTGGGCACCAGGCTGTGCATCCCTCACCCCTCAGATGCGGGCTGGGCCCCTGCGCACTGCAGGCCTGGGTGATGCTGCAGCTCATCTCCAAGGAGGTGGGAGGGGCAGGTGTGTATCCGGTGTCCCATTGGAGACAGTGACTTTACTCCGAGGCCCCACGGAGGGTTTGGGGAGGGACATCAAAGTAGGAAAACTTGGTTTTGACTCCCTTCCAAACCCACCCCCCTGAGATAAGAAAATGGGACGGAAGGCCAGGCCGTGCCTCCAGGAAGCACCCGTGGCAGAGAGGACAGAGCATCCGCGATGGGGGCCCAGCTCCCAGGACCCCGTTAGTGAGTCTCCTGGAGAAGAGACAGCTTAGGGAGCGGCCTTGGACCTCAGGCGGAGCTGCTGGCCTTGTTGCGGGGCCTCCTGAAAGCACACAGGTCACTGGACAGCTGAGCACATGGCCACATTGTGGTAGAAACACAGGAAAGTGTGAAGAGGAAGGATGAGGCCCAGGCACACAGTGGGCAGCTCTGGGCTCCCCAGGCCTCGCCCTTCCCGACCTCCACCTTACCCGCTTATTCCTCCCCAGGGTGAAGCTGGACCCCCAGGTGACCAGGGTCGAGAAGGCCCTGTCGGTATCCCCGGAGACCCGGTAGGAAGCCTGGCTGGCTGAGGGGTGTCCATGAGTGAGCCAGGCCTGCTGGCTCAGCCCTGAGCAGAAATGCTCCCAGCGGTTCAGGGATCTGTGGGGAGGTCTCCTTCCGGGGGTACGGCCTGGGAGATCGTGGGGTATGGGACCCTGGAGCCAGCTGCAGGCGGCCAGGGGCATTTGGGGCAGCAGAGTGGGAACTGGTGAGGGCAGGCCCAGCCCTGTGGCCCCCAGGTGCCCAGCACTCACAGAGGGACCTCTTTGTCATCTGGTGGGCCCTTGGCAGGACACGGAGCTGAGTGGGCAGATTCCCACTGTGCCCCCAAGCTCTGCTCTCAGAGTGGGTGGGGAGGGGTTCCCTGGCTTGGTCAGTGCACATGGAGGGAGGAGGCAGGGCTGGCAGCAGAAGGGGTATGAGGGAGCCTGGAGGCCCTGGGCACAACCCCTGCCCCTGCCCTTGCCCTTGCCCGGCAGGGCTGGGTCACTGAGGGCAGAGCCCTGGACGAAGGCATCTCACTCAGGAGCTGGGACATCAGAGCCCCCAGGATACACAGGCGGTGGGGGAACTCACTTGGCTTTTGGAGCCCAGGTTGAGATCCTGGCTGGAAGTCAATTTGGATGTGTAGTGCATAAAAAGTTCCAGAATTCCTGGGGGTGCGGCCTTTCAGAGGCCATGCTGGTGGAGGGGAGAAGAGTGGGACCCCAAGGAAGGAGAGGGTCTGACCCTGCCAGTGGGCGGGGCTGGAGGAGGAGTCGGGAGGAGTGCAGACCTGCAGTGCCTTCTGTTTCCACCGTGTGAGCTCCCTGAGTGCGTGGACTGGCTCCAGCATCTGGCTTTACAGAAAAATACTGTAATAAACATCAACGTCCATCTGTCGCTCTGCCAGCTCCTTTGTCTCTCCTTCTGTCTGTCTGCCCATCCATCCATCCATTTATCTATCTATCTATCTCCATCTATGATCTATCATTCATCCATTATCTATTATCCATCTCTTCACCCAGCCAGCCACCATCTACTCATCCTTCCATTATCTGTTTATCTATCATCTATCTCTGTTATCTATCATCTGTCATTCGTCCATTATCTATTATCTATCTATCTATCTATCTATCATCTACTCTGCCAGTCACACATGCTCTCACCTATCCATCATCAATCTGTCATCTATCTATCCCCATCATTTATGTATCATCTATCCATATGTCCATCTTCCATCCACTCATCGATCCATCCACTCACCCATAGTCCATCCATCTTGAAATACGTCCAAGGCTATATCCAGAATGTAAAACCTTAGGAGCAGAATGTCTTGGGCAAATGTTATGTGTGTGACAATTGCCAAATAATCCCGCCTGTATGTCTATCTAGCCCCAGCCCACAACCCCCACCCCCAGGAATCCAGGAATGTACAATAGAGACTGCACCCATGCCTTTGCCAACATAAGATCTTATCAGACTGTGAATGTGCATTTTAGCTCCTCAGGTGACAATCGTGTCCTCTCTTAATGGGAAAAGTTGAGCATGGTTTCAGGTGTCACTGTATCTCGCTGTTCATGAGGATGTTCATTTCCCACTGGATTCTGTGTCCCTTGTTGAAGTGATGAGCCCAAAGACATTTTAATCCTCACCCAAGGACATTTTTGCATTTATCTTCAGATAGAGTGGGAGGGAGAGAGAGAGAGAAACATGGATGTACGAGAGACACATTGACTGGTTGCCACCCACAGAACCCCAACCAGGGCCGGGGACAAACTACAACCGAGGTACGTGCCCTTAGCGGGAACTGAACCTGGGACTCTCTAGTCCGCGGGCTGATGCTCTAACCGCTGAGCCAAACGGGCCAGGCCCAAATCTGTTACATTTTGTTGTGTAGGATGTCCTACTCATTTACAGGATTCCAAATACATTCACCCCTCTCACTGTATTTTTTGCTTTTATCTTCGATTCATTTTCATTTGGATCATATTGCAGTAGGCAAAAGTAGGTGTACAATTGTGAGTATGTGCAACACAGAGTTTATGCTTGTATTATTGTTTATTATTATTGTGTTACAGCTGTACACCTACTTTTGCCCATCCTTGTATATTGTGTGGCTAGAAGCAAGCCCATCGTCACAACACAATTTCTCGCATTAAAATGCAGTTTTATTCTATTTTCTCATCCCTTGTCTGCGTGTCTTTCTGGAACTGCTGTGTCATGCCTCCTGTCCTCCTGCTTCTGCTGACGCTGCCCAGGGCGCCTGAAAGCAGTGGGGCCAGGGCCTGGGCTGCGGCGGGACCCTGGCGTAGCCCTGGCAGGGTAGCAATGCGACAGCAGCCTCTGCTGCCAGCTGGTCGAGGAACAAGCTGCATACGGGGAGTTGCACACCGCTGGGAGAGCGCCTCATCCGAGAGGGGCCTCTGCAGAACCACCGCCCTGACAGCAGGCTCTCCGAGTGCAGGGCCGTGGCTGGCAGGGCACAGGGGCCAGCAGCTCTGAGGACCACGTGTGCTCTCCTCCTTCCTCCAGCCTGGCGGGGGTGTCTGTGCCGCGTCTGGGGGACTGAGACCCTGGGCCCCGAAGAGTGGGTGGTGCTCCTCCAGGGAGGGCATAGGTGGAGCAGCAGCAGGTGGAGTCCGGAGGGCTGGTGTGGGGGGGCGGGGGGGTCCAGTGGGCATGTCCCTCTCTTTGCAGGGTGATGCTGGCCCCATTGGACCTAAAGGGTACCGAGGAGATGAGGGGCCTCCAGGGCTCGAGGTAAGCAGCCCTCCCTGCCCTCGGTCCCGGGAGGGGCCGCCCTGACCCTAGGCCCCCCTCCCGCCAGCGCTTCCCTGGGAGAGCCCCCTGTCCACTGGGGCTTTCATTTCGTTTTAGTATATGTGACTTTTAGAACATTTGGAAAATTCATAAAAAATAAAAAAGTGAATTGAAATCTAAAATGATAATCAAACAAACAGAAATAAATAAACAAAATAGCACCCCCTTCCCCCAGAGATGAATAATATGAACCCTTTGGCTTATCTCTTTCCAATTTGTTTTTTTTCTTTCTTTGCGTATTATGCCTTACCAATTTGACTTCACAAGGTCTGTTTTTTTCCTTATGAGTATTTTCTTAAAACCCTAACACTATTTCAAAGCACCGTTGACATGTGCTTAGAGCCATGCCTGGGTTTGTTTCTCCAAACCTTATTGTTGGGCTCACAGGCTGTTCCGGATTCCCCATGGGTCCCTGTCCACTGTGGTCACGGCCCAGGTGCCCCTCGATGGGTCACAGGCTGGAGACTGGACTCGGAGCCCCATGGGGTCCTGTTTTGCTCCATCTGCACCAGCCGCAGGATCGTGGGTTTAGATCCTTTGATCATCGCCCAGCTGCTGTTTTATTTAACTCGCCCCCTCATTTTCCTCTGCAAGACCTGTGCCTCGGAGCCTGCCTCCCCCTTCCTCAGGCCTCTCTCACCCCCCCAAACCCACTCCTCTCCTCCTCAGGGCCCCAGAGGTGCCCCAGGGCCGGTAGGACCTCCCGGAGACCCCGGACAGATGGGAGAAAGGGTGAGTGATGGGCCCGAGGGCACAGGGTCCTGGAGGGGCTGACACCTGATTGCCTGAGACCCTGGGAAGCCCCGGGTTCGAGCCCTGGGCTTATGGAGTCTAAATGAGGGTCCTCGTTGCAGTAACTGGACAGGGAGCATTCTCCACAGGTGACTGTCCCCTCAGTGTCTGTGGACACTGCAGTCACTGCGGTCACTGTGGTCACCGAACACATGGATGCTTTGTCTTCCCGCCTGCTCCAAGGTCTGGGGAGAGGTGGGCATGGGACCCCCATGGCATTCTGGGCTGGGAGACGCCTTCCAGGCTGATGAGGGACCCAAAAGTGCCATTCCTGTGCCCACACTGTCTGGAGACGCCCCAGGCCTGGGTGGTTCCCACAGTGACAGATGTCATCTGCTCCCCAGGGTGAAGACGGCCCCCCCGGAAACGGCACTGAAGGCTTCCCCGGCTTCCCTGTGAGTGCCCCCTTGCCCCACCCCTTTGGCAGGCTGAACACACTTGGGCCGGCGGGTTGTACCCGGGAACTGGTAGCTGGGCTTGTTCATGGAGGCCCATGTCAGAGCCTGTGTGACTGTCCTGCCTTCCCCTGCAGGGCTATCCGGGCAGCAGGGGCCCTCCCGGGATAAACGTGAGTACACACCCACCACCAGGCTACTGGTGTGTGCCCATACGTGCAAACACGTGCGCACACACACAAGCATGCACGTACGTGCAAACACTATCACACGTGCAAACACGCACACCCTTGGCCTAGAGTCTTTGCCAAGGCCCCTCTCGCCTGTGTCTCCATCAGTGAACGTCCCCGCTGGTGTGCACTTGGCGATGACGCTGCCCTCGGGTGCAGGGAGCAGGGTCGCATCCAGCCTCCCCTAAAGCTCAGGGTGTCCTTGCCATTCTCAGCCTCAGTTTCTTCCCCAGGAAATGTATACGGGGTGGGGGTGGGGCTGGGGCAGACAATATCTCCTTTGTCTTTTTCCTTTTAAAGTGTCTTAAAAATGAAATGAAATACATATAAATTGTACCTTAGTAAAACTGATTTAAAAAAGAAAAATTGGTGAAGAAAAGAAACATCCAGGATGCCTCTGGTAGACGAGTTGCCTTTCTTTTCGTCTGAGGGGCTCGGCTGAATGCCGCAGGGGGCACGGGCCGCGGCTGAATGCCGCAGGGGGCCACGGGCCGCGGCTGAATGCCGCAGGGGGCACGGGCCGCGGCTGAATGCCGCAGGGGGCACGGGCCGCGGCTGAATGCCGCAGGGGGCACGGGCCGCGGCTGAATGCCGCAGGGGGCACGGGCCGCGGCTGAATGCCGCAGGGGGGCACGGGCCGCGGCTGAATGCCGCAGGGGGCACGGGCCGCGGCTGAATGCCGCAGGGGGCACGGGCCGCGGCTGAATGCCGCAGGGGGCACGGGCCGCGGCTGAATGCCGCAGGGGGCACGGGCCGCGGCTGAATGCCGCAGGGGGCACGGGCCGCGGCTGAATGCCGCAGGGGGGCACGGGCCGCGGCTGAATGCCGCAGGGGGCACGGGCCGCGGCTGAATGCCGCAGGGGGCACGGGCCGCGGCTGCCTGGCCCTGCGCCTGCTCCGGGACTCTGCACCCCGCCGACCATGCTCCCCTGTTCCCTGCAGGGCACTAAAGGCTACCCGGGCCTCAAGGGGGATGAGGGAGAAGCAGGAGACCCTGGAGAGGATGTGAGTGCAGCACCTCCCTGCTCCCCGCACGTTCTGGCATCCCAAGGGAGGGGGCTGGGAGGGGGCTTGGGGGGGCTGGGAGGGGTGAGTCGCTGTGTCTGAGACACGTGCTATTTCCTTCCAGAACAATGACGTTGCCCCCGGCGGTGTCAAAGGCGCGAAGGGGTACCGGGGCCCCGAAGGCCCCCAGGTGAGTGCAGGCGTGGCTGGCCTAGGGCGGCTGGTAGACGCACCTGCGCCTCTGAGGCTGCAGTGGGTGGGGAGGGGACCGGAGAGGGTGGGAAGGCCTGGGGAGGTTGGGGCTTTGACAGCTGGGATCAGAGGGAACAGACAGTTTTGAGGGGAGTATTGGGGGTGCTGAATAGGGAGAGAGAAAGGGGACCAGTCACCAGGTGGCAGGGACAGAAACACAGCAAAGCCCAGGGCAGGGGCCCAGAAGAGGTCGGGCACCAAGGCCGGGGCTCCTGCCCATGGAGGAGGTGCCATTGGACTGAGTGGAGGACTCTGCCTGGGAGCTGCTCACAGGGTCCTGGCCACACCCCACTGGCCACCAGAGGAGACAGTGCTGGACGGTCAGCCCAGAGGAAATGTGGCAGGTGCTGGTTCTCCAGCTCTTAATGCGCAGAAACCTCCGCTGTCCCTGGTGTTCAGGGGTCTCCTGATGGCAGTCGGAGTCATGGGGGCAAGGGGGCTTCCCAAGAGCTCCTGTCAGACCCTGCAGTCCTTCTCCTGTCTTCTCTCTGATAGGGACCCCCAGGACACACGGGACCGCCCGGACCAGATGTAAGTGGGTGTCTGTGAGCATGCTCAGGGGCCAGCCACTCTGGCTAAGGATCCCATGGCGGGGGGGGGGGGGAGGACTCGTGGCAGCAGCAGGGGGACACGTGCTGGCCACATGTCAGTGACCACATCGGGTGCCTGTGCCCTGGAAGCAGGGGCCTGTGGTCAGAGAACCCCCTGCCCCCACCCACCCTGGCTGTGGTCCCAGGGCAGCGTGACCCAGAGGGCCGGCCTCACCCCTAGCGCCGGGGCAGCTCTGGCTGGATGACCAGCCAGTCCGCCCATCAAGCAAGCGTCTTCCCCTCCCCAGGAATGCGAGATTTTGGACATCATCATGAAAATGTGCTGTGAGTGTCTCCACCTTTGAATAACTATCTTCATTGGAAAGAGCACATCCTGCTGTCAGTGCCTGAGTGAGGGGGAGGCAAGTGGGGGGCAGGCGTGTGAACCACCAGTGAGGACGTCCCTGGGGGCTGAGCCACTCTCAGCCCCACCGCTGGCCTCCCTTCCCTCCCACCAGAAGCCGCCGGCTGGGAACCCTGGTCAGGGAGGCCCGGGGAGGCAGGAACTAGTGGGAGGGTTCACATAGGACTCAGGGTCTTGGTGTCACCTAATCTCATCTTTCTCCTCTTCCCCAGCTTGCTGTGGTGAGTGTCACTCTCTGACTGGCGTGGTTTTAGCTTTGGGTAGATGGAGCCTGCGGGTGGTGGGGCTGGGCCCTCCCCTCTGAGCACGTGGTAGACCAGCAGCTGCCCCGGCCCCCTGCAGAGTGCAAGTGCGGCCCCATCGACATCCTCTTCGTGCTGGACAGCTCCGAGAGCATCGGGCTGCAGAACTTCGAGATCGCCAAGGACTTCATCATCAAGGTCATCGACCGGCTGAGCCGGGATGAGCTGGTCAAGGTGTGCCCCGCCCTGGCCTCCAGGCTCTGGGGGAGGCGGTTCCCAGGAGGCTGGAGAGAGACCAGACCTGGGGGCCCAGGCAGACAGGGCCTTGTGTTTCTAAAAGCCGGGGAGAGCTGCTGCCCGGTCTGGCCGGGGACAGAAGGAGGGTGGAGGTGCAGCTGGGGGCACGCCTGACCTCGGTGCCTGTGGCTGCGCAGTTCGAGGCCGGACAGTCGCACGCAGGCGTGGTGCAGTACAGCCACAACCAGATGCAAGAGCACGTGGACTTGAGGGACCCCAACATCAGGAACGCCCAGGAGCTCAAGGAGTGAGTGCAGTGCGCTTGGACAGCTGTCTGTGCAGTTCCAAGAGCCCACCCAGCCCCGCAGCAGGCCCAGGCCCAGCCCCGGAGCCCAGTGCTGACCCTGCACCGGACCTGGGCCCTGGCCCCAGCCTGGCTCCGGCGCTGACGTGCTGTGGCCTTGCAGAGCCATCAAGAAACTGCAGTGGATGGCGGGCGGCACGTTCACGGGCGAGGCTCTGCAGTACACCCGGGACCGGCTCCTGCCCCCCACCCAGAACAACCGGATTGCCCTGGTCATCACAGACGGCCGCTCAGACACCCAGAGGGACACCACGCCACTCAGCGTGCTCTGCGGCCCTGACATCCAGGTGGGTCCACATCCACGCCAGATGCGGCCGCCTTCGCACCCCGAAGTGTGGGGCGCTCTCTCCCCTGGGGCCGGCTGATGCTGTCCCTCCCCACAGGTGGTCTCCGTGGGCATCAAGGATGTATTTGGCTTCGTCGCGGGCTCTGACCAGCTCAACACCATTTCCTGCCAAGGCCTCGCACCCCAGGGCCGGCCAGGCATCTCGCTGGTCAAAGAGAACTACGCGGAGCTGCTGGAGGACGCCTTCCTGAAGAACATCACCACCCAGATCTGCATAGGTGGGTGGGGCCAGCGGAAGCAGCTCCGCAGTGCAGGCAGCTGGCTGGCAGCCAGGGAGAGCTCCAGGGTCAGACTGGGGCCCTCTCCCCGCACAGTGGGCGCGTGACCAGCACCGCCCAGGACAGCATGTCACAGGTGTCTGACCTGCAGTCCCTCCTTTCTCCTCTCTCAGCCTCCGTTCCCCAACCTTAGTGTCCAGACTGCCTCACCTCCTCCGGCTTGGGGTGGGGACCGTGAAATAATGGCCAGGACCATCCCATCCCCTCAAGGATCCCCCCTGCAGTAGGGGACACCCCTCCCTGGTGGGGTGGAGAGGGCCAGGTAGGGCCAGGCACTCAGGAGATCACCTGTGTTCATGGCACTTTCCATGGAGAGGCTCTGGCGTCACCTCGTTGAGGGGGGACAGATGGAACACTGGTCCCTACCATCACTGGGTTCATGCCATGTGGGGCTTTTCTCTTACAGACAAGAAATGTCCAGATTACACCTGCCCAAGTGAGTATCTGGGTGTGGACAAGGCTCTGGTGGGGGCACCGGTGGGGAGGGTCAGGGGGTGATAGTCCCAGGGGGTCTGGCTCTCCCAGGCCCGGGTGCCTCTGGCTGGCCCCCCGCCGTGTTGGGAGGCCCTGCCGGGGCTAACAGTGCATGCCCCGCCCCCTGCCTCAGTCGTGTTCTCCTCGCCGGCCGACATCACCATCCTGCTGGACGGCTCCGCCAGCGTGGGCAGCCACAACTTCGAGACCACCAAGCAGTTCGCCAAGCGGCTGGCCGAGCGCTTCCTGACGGCCGGCCGGGCGGACGCGTCCCGGGACGTGCGCGTGGCGGTGGTGCAGTACAGTGGCACCGGGCAGCAGCAGCCGGAGCGCGCCGCCCTGCACTTCCTGCAGAACTACACCGTGCTGGCCAGCACCGTGGACGGCATGGACTTCTTCAACGACGCCACGGACGTCAACGACGCCCTCCGGTACGTGACCCGCTTCTACCGGGAGGCCTCGTCGGGGGCCACCAAGAAGAAGCTGCTGCTCTTCTCAGACGGCAACTCCCAGGGGGCCACGGCGGCCGCCCTGGAGAAGGCTGTGCAGGAGGCGCAGCGGGCGGGCATCGAGGTCTTCGTGGTGGTGGTGGGCCACCAGGTGAACGAGCCACACATCCGCGTCCTGGTCACCGGCAAGACGGCCGAGTACGACGCAGCCTTCGGCGAGCGCCACCTGTTCCGCGTGCCCAGCTACCAGGCCCTGCTGCGGGGCGTCTTCTACCAGACGGTGTCCAGGAAGGTGGCCCAGGATTAGCCAGTCTCCCCCAAACTGAAACAAAGTAAAAATGTGACATAAATGGTCCTGACCAACCCAATTAGCTAGATTTTTTTTTAAAGGACAAGCTTGAAAAGCCGCCATGCGAGCGGGAGTCTGCGCCCTGGTCCTAGGATCCTGCCCCCACCCCCACCCCGCACGCCTGAACCCCTATCTCACCACCCCGAGTTAACATCCCGAACCTCCTGCAGGCTCCAGACCCCAGCCGGTGAGAACCCTGACACCTCATTTCTCTGGGGTGTCTGCGAACTGTCCCCCAATAACCCTACAGAACCCTTCGTTTAACATCTCATTTCCACATACGGTCAAAGCCCACCACTCAGTTCACGTGAGCCGAGGGACTGCGTTCCGCTTTCGGAAACCAAGGTTGAGAGGATTCTAAAACCCTGACAGGGTCTCATCACTCCGCCCCTGGACCTTGGTCCCCGAAGCCTCAGCCTGAGAGCTCGGGGCAGCACACGGACGTTGACCAGCGTCCCCAGAGAACAGCAGAAAGTAGTGTCTCCTTGACCCTGTGCCCCTGCAAACCCCAAGAACAAAGGTGCTATCCTGTCAACCCCCCACCCACTGATGCCGAGAGGCCTGGGCACCCGGGCCATCTGTTGGCACAAAGTGATGGGCCAAAGCTCTTTCCTCCAGGGAGTGATTGGTTCTGCATTTCATTGAACACCCTCTTTGTTAGTTTCATTGTTCAGTCCTTCCTGTGTTTTTCTCAACTGTGTCCCTGTCAGCAAATTTTCCAAATAAAAGTTTTCACTCTTGCCTGGCCGGTGTGGCTCAGTGGTTGAGCGTCGACCCATGCACCAAGAGGTTGCCAGTTCGATTCTCGGTCAGGACACATGCCCAGGTTTGGGCCAAATCCCCAGTGGGGGGCATGCAGGAGGTGGCCAGTCGATGTTCTCTCTCATCGATGTTTCTCTCCCTCTCCCTCTCCCTTCCTCTCTCTCCAAAATCAATAAAGAAAAAAAAATTTTTTTTTTTTAAGTTTTCACTCTTCTCTTGGTGGTTGTCTTTCCGAGGAGTTAAAATCCCACCATGTTTGCACTTGGTGCCAACAGGAGGACTTGGAGAAGGTTCGGGTGTTTGGTGGGATGCCCACCTCCAACTCAGTGCCAGCCAGGAGAGGTGCCTGCCTTGGCCAGACACCATCATCAACCATCTTCTGGGTCTGGGGCAAGACATCGGAGACATGAAGTTTGTCTGTAGATGGAGAGCAGCCAGGAGGCGCCCAGACACTGGGCGGCAGAATCACAAGCAGGTTCAGCCTCAGGGATCTGGGAGAGCTGACCACTAAGATAAAACCCCCCAAACACCCCGGGAGTTCTAGAGGGCAGTAGGGCCCCAGGAGGCCCCAGGGGAAGACGCCTGGGAGACCAGGCCCTGCATCCCAGTGAGGCGTGTCTGCCCCCATCGCGGGGCGTGGGCCTCTGCCTCGGGAAGGATGGAGGCGTAGGGGCGAGCGGAGCCCACTCACGTTCGTGGGAGGGAATCGCAGGCGTTAGAATAGCTCGGCGCTCCCTGGCTGGGCTGCTGGGACCAGGGAGGGTGTGGCCTCCGGCAGACAGAGGGGGGCAGGAGTGCAGACAGGTGCTCGAGTTCATGGCAGCGCGGCCTCCGCCCGGTCTGTCCCAGGGGGTGGCAGGGGCACTGGTGTCTGAGGGGAGTGAGGGACGTCCCTCACAAAATGTGGCTAGGAGAGCTGAGCTGCAGGAAAGCCATCGGTGTGGCGGGGGACAACACCTGAAATCTCTGATTCCCACCAAGAGCAGCACCCCCACATAGAATTGCCGGGTGTCGGGCCCAGTCACTGAGGGGTTCACATGGACACCTCATCGCAGCCCCCGGACTCATGCAGACCTGCCAGGGACCAGGCAGCTGCTGGCAGGCCGGTTTCCATCTGCTGGTCCGTCATTCATGCAGCCCCCATCAGTGCGCCAGCCCTGTGAGCCCCCAGCCTGAGGGGGTCCCCAGAGCGTGGACCCGTTGCCCTGGGCTGGCTACTTCCCCACCGCTCACAGCTGGGTAACCTTGAGCAGCTCATCTGCCTGCCGCCTCAGTTTTCTCAACTGCAAAATGGGTTCGTAACACCTTAGCGCCTGCTTGAGAGAGGCCTAGGGCCCTCACTGGAGCAGACCTCAAACACCTCTCTGTGTGGAGCCAAGGCCGCTCGGGCCTCCTGGCTGTGCCCATGCAGGGAGGCCAGAGAGCGGGCCTGGACAGTGGCGTAGGGGAGGGTGGCCTGGGCGGGTGAGGAGGGCACCGGCCTCTCCCCAGTCCGCAGTGCACAGTCTCCCTTCAGGTGGGTCTGGGTTTCTCCCTGCCCACCTGGGGTGGCCACCCAGAGACCTCTTCCTGAAGAAAAGTGAGTATCAGAAATATGCGTTTCCCCTTTAAGGAGGAGCTTCGCCGTCAGCCCATCTGTGACTCATCTCTAACTGGAATCGTCTCTAACTGGAACCAGCTGGCGGAGAACACAAGCCACACTCCTCCACGCTGTCCTCAGCCCTCGCCTCCCCACCCCACCCGGGAAAGATAAGGGTCCCCTTCATTCTACAGAAGTCGACTTGTGAAAACCACGTCATAAGGGAAACCTCAGGCCCGTCACGCCTGGCTCCTTTCCAGGTTGATAAAGGCAGCATTTTAGATCATGGCGCCCACTTTTCTCAGCCCAGAATTGCAGGGGGCAGTGCCCAGACCTCTATCCTGGGCCCTGCCACCCCACTTAGGAGCCCAGGGGCTGCGCTTCCCCCCTGCTCCCTGAAAGGGTGTTCCTCAAAGGAAAGGGGCGCCTATGGGGTCCAAAGGAGTGCTCGGGAGGGGCTCCCAACCCCCATCTGCTCCCCATCAGGTCAGCCCCAGCTGCTGATCCTGGAAGCTCCCCTATCCATCTGCCAGCGCTGGGGACACGCAGGGTGTACTCTGCCCACCCCCGGAATCTATCCACATGTGAGGGGGGAGTCGCAGCCCCCTGGGCTGTTTGGTTAATGCCAACTCCTCCTTTAGCTTGGCATATACTGGTGCTGCTTGTGCCCCGCTGGCTACAGCCACTCGCCTGGGTCACTCTCGCCTCCATCTGCAAACATGCCGCGGGGCCGAGGCTTTGCTGTCAGTTCTGCCTGGACAGCTGAGTGGTTGCACCCTTCCTTTCGTTTGCATTGTTTTAATGTTTCTTTGTTGTCTTTTCTCTCTTTATCTCCCGAGACACATAGTCCTAGGTGTATGTTTTTTAGCTAGCCAGTAGCGGCATTTTTTCATTCATCCTTGATTTTCATGAAAAAATCAAACACATTCATATTTATTACTACAACCAATATTTGGTCTTTATAGTGTGTTTTTATGCGAAGGATATCAGGAAGGTACATTGTCCCATCTATAATTTTGAAAGTATGTGGGAGGCATACGTCGGAGGGCTGTCAGCCATGCAGATCGCTGGCTGAGCCCTGCGGGAGCCAGGAGGGTCTCCAGCCCAGAGTCCCGGCTGCTGGTGTGGCAGCCACTTTCTGCGGAAATGGTGGTGTCAATGCACCAAGGGTGTGGTTGGCTTTAGAAAGCGATGTCCTCCCCAAGGCAGGATTTTAAACTCAGGGGGGCCTCTGTCTTCTAGCTGCTGAGATGGGGACACTTAGAGTACCCTAGAGGCAGGTTCACCTCTCCAGTTAAGGCTTGGGGAAATGCAAGGTGAACACTGCAAGCCCACCAGAACGGCTGAGATTATCCTGACACCACCGATGCCAGGAGGCTGTGGGCCTCGCAGCTGCCGTGGCTTTGTGAAATGGTACAACCACTTCAGAATCTTCAATAGTTCCTAAAACCCACATGCACCTGCCATGCAACTGCACCACTTCCTCCTGAGCGTTGGTTGGACAAGAGTGCTGAAGAAATAAATTCTTAGGTTCAAAGATTTGCAGGAGAAAGTTCACTTCAACCTTTGGAAAACAAAAAAATCCTCTGTTGGCGAGGGTGTGGAGAAAAGGGGACTCTGGTACACTGCTGGTGGGAATGCAGACTGGTGCAGCCACTATGGAAAACAATATGGTGTTATTACCTCAAAAAATTAAAAATTGAACTGCCATTTGACCCAATGATCCCACTTCTAGAAATATACCGTAAGAAGCCTGAAACACCAATCAGGAAGAATATATGTACCCCCATGTTCATAGCAACACTATTTACAGTAGCTAAGATCTGGAAACAGCCCAAATGTCCATCAGTAGAAGAATGGATAAAAAAGCAGTGGTACACTGCTGGTGGGAATGCAGACTGGTGCAGCCACTATGGAAAACAATATGGTGTCACCTCAAAAAATTAAAAATTGATCTTCCATTTGACCCAGTGATCCCACTTCTAGGAATATACCCTAAGAAGCATAAAACACCAATAAGAAAGAATATATATACCCCCATCTTTGTAGCAGCACTATTTACAATCGCTAAGATCTGGAAACAGCCCAAGTGCCCATCAGTAGACGAATGGATCAAAAAGCTGTGGTACATATACACAATGGAGTACTACGCAGCGGTAAGAAAGAAAGATCTCTTATCCTTTGAGACTACATGGAGGGACCTGGAAAGTATCATCCTAAGTGAAACAAGCCAAACAGAGAAAGACAAATTTCGTATGATCTCACTGATTTGTGGAATATAATGAACATAACAGTTTGAGGAATGGGGTAGTCCCAGAGACGCGGAAGCGGGGTACAGACTGACAATCCCCTAAGGAGTGGGGAGGTGGGGGAGGGATGAACCACAGAACTTATATGCATGTATGCATGAACAGTGGACATGGACAACAATCTGGGGAAGGGGCAGGGAGGGAAGGGGGAGGGGGGAATCAGTGGGGGAAAAAAGGAGAATCATCTGTAACAAAAATTAATCAATAAAAAAAAAAAAAGCAGTGGTACATATACACAATGGAGTACTATGCAGCTGTAAGAAAGAAAGATTTCTTATCCTTTGAGACGACATGGAGGGACCTGGAAAGTATTATTCTAAGTGAAACAAGCCAAACAGAGAAAGACAAGTATCATATGATCTCACTTATTTGTGGAATACAATGAACATAACAGTCTGAAGAACAGGGTAGTACCAGAGACGTGGAAGCGGGGTACAGACTGACAATCCCCATAAGAGGTGGTGGTGGGGGAGATATAAACCACAGAACTTATATGCATGTATGCATGAACAATGGACATGGACAACAAAGCCAGGGACAGAGCGGGGAGGGGGGGGGGATCAGTGGGGGGAAAAGGAGAAACATCTATAACAAAAATAAATAAATAAAAAAGAAACCCCCCCCCCAAATTTTTTTAAATAAAAAAATCCTCTGCCCTGGCCGGTTGGGCTCAGCAGTTAGAGCGTCGGCCTGCGGTCTGGAGAGACCCGGGTTCGGTTCCCGCTAGGGGCACGTGCCTCGGTTGCAGTTTGTCCCCGGCCCTGGTTGGTCGTGCGGGTGGCAGCCACTCGATGTGTTCCTTTCACATCGATGTTTCTCTCTCTCTGTTCCTCTCTCTCCCTCCCACTCTACCTGAACAAAAAATGGAAAAATGTCCTCGGGTGAGGATAAAAAAATAATAATAATAAAAATCCTCACCCTGGCAGGTTTGGCTCAGCAGTTAGAATGCCAGCCCACGGACCGGAGAGACCCAGGTTCGGTTCCTGCTAAGGGCACGTACCTCAGTTGCAGTTCGTCCCTGGCCCCGGTTGGGGTTGTGTGGGTGGCAAGCAGTTGATGTGTCTCTCTCACATCAATGTTTCTCTCTCTCT